CACACCTATCAACAATATAATGTGCTAAAGAATAGACTAAATGGCAAGATTTTGAAAATCGAATGAACTCAAACACTCCCTGTACATTGCATTGCAGCACATCAATTTGACCTGGCGTTCTACATGGTTTACATGTTTGACATGGAATTTTACATTTTTAATCACTAAAGCCGGGCTTATGTCGTGTTGCGATTGAATGCGACTCGATTCGACTGCAGTGCTTAGGTCGGCTGCGACGCGACTGCCTGCAACTGGCCGCCACTAGTTGCTCGGAATAGAACAGTGGGCAACTGGACACAACTGACGATTTTCCAGTTGCTTTCAGTCGAGTCGGCTCGCAAGCGCGCTTATGTCGACATCGATTTTACGGCAACTAGTTGCTGCCGATCGCTTCCAATTGCTCGAAATCCAGTTGCTTCCAGTCGAGTCGGCTCGCAAGCCCGACATAAGCCCCGCTTAATACATACGTCTCTCACATGACAAGCCATTATATTCGTATCTGATATATCAAGACCCTCACTTGAAATATCATGATTCTCTTACCTGAGATACTGTAATTCTGTTACAACTTACCTGAGACATCAACATTTTGTTACTGAGACATTGACATTCTCTTACTTGAGACAGTGCCATTCTCTTACCTGAAACACCTGCAATCTCCTAACTGAGACATCTGCAATCTCTTACTTGAGACATCTGCATTCTCTTACCTGAGACATTGCTATTCTCTTACCTGAGACATCTGCAATCTCTTACCTGAGACATTGCTATTCTCTTACCTGAGACATCTGCAATCTCTTACCTGAGACATTGCTATTCTCTTACCTGAGACATTGCTATTCTCTTACCTGAGACATCGTCATTCTCGTTAACAAGGCTGTTTAAGATGGAAGGTCCAGCTCCCATTGGAAAATGGCCAAGGTGATTGACAAGGTAACTCATCACCTGTAATATACATATCTATACAATTAGCATATGTAATATGCGTAAGTCGAGAGGGGTAGAGTAGCAAATTTTAATGAGCCACTTTCCCGAATCAAACATAATTGGGCCAAGCAGTCACATAATAAACATGGATAGTTCATGTGAAATAATCAAAATTTTGCATTATGCCATGGATTCCCAACAGTCGAATAAATAAATCCAGTGGCCAATATTTTGTGATTCTTCTATGACCTGCAAAATCTACAGAATCCATCAGGGTTGTGCAACTAAGCAACTCTGCTGCTCACTTCTCCACGCTTTAGTTTTCCTTACTGTCTTTAATTATAACCAATCGCGACAAGTATCAATTAATTTAATTTCGAGATCCAAAATAATTACTGAAGCATAAGTTTCCACAGATGACCTGTTGTGTTAGTCACGCTCCTTTGCTCGTGCTGTCACCAGATCGCAGATCCAGATCCAGATCCAGATCCAGTTCCAGATCCAGATCCAGAGTAGGTCCAGCTCCTGCCACCTGGTGACAGCCCAGACGATCGAGCACGGTGTGACAAAGAACAACAGCAGACTCATCCTCGAAATCTCCGCTTCCGTAAATGCTTCGGGAATCTCAAAAGCTCAGTCGCTTCACACACGACAGAGCGAAGTTCGACGACGACCTCGCTCCATCGCCCGGGAACTCACGGCGCGCGCGCGACACTCACGGTTCTCGCCGTCAGCTTGACGATGTCACCGGCCGCGCTCGCGCCGTCCGTCTGCTCGCGCTTCAGCGACGATGACTTGGACGGCGTCGTCGGCGGCGTCAGGCCCTTGATGCCGTCGAGCAGCGAGCTCGGGTCGCAGTCAGACATCATCGTGTTCGTCGTCGTCGAGGCCAGCTCGCTGAGACTGTGCGCGCTCGTCGAACCCTTGAAGATGGCATTGCCCGTGCCCGTGCACGCGATGTTCAACACCTGCAAAATTACAGGCGGCGGTGGCAGTCTAAAGTACGGTGCTGCCATCTACTGGGCAAGGCGGCGGGGCGGGGGTGAGGGTATTTTGTGTTACACATCATGCACGCACTTCATGAACTGTCGCTAATGGTGATGATGTGTAGTGCTACCATTTTTTGTATAATAAAGGAATTGGTTTAGGTTACAAGAAATGTCGTATGTCATGCGTAGCAGGGTGCGAAATTAACGAGAGTCCGGAGTCAAATACTCCCTGATTTACTGTCGGACTCCCTGATTTGACATATGCAGGAGTCCGTGTGACTCCCTGAAAATTCTGCCACACTAACTAGTTCGTTCCAGAGCACAGCCTCACGGAATTAGCGTATTTTTTCAGCTAATGTCCAGAGAAAATTTGGCAGACGTGCAACCGCATGAATCTTAAAAATAAGCACATGCGTTATTGTTAATATCTTTAATTTTGAACCTCAGACTGCGGACTCCCTCATTTTGCTGCGGACTCCCTCTTTTTGAGGGCAGGGAGTCCGTTGGACTCCCTTGTTCAAAAGTTAATTTCTACCCCTGCGTAGTGTAAGCCATCACTTATGGTTATGCTGTAAACCATGGCTTACGGTGACATGAGTGAGTATCCCACATTGTATGCAGTGCTGCCATCTTTCAGGCAAGCATAACTTAAATTTCAGTGGTACAGTGGCTATCGTGTTCAATTTTCAATTCGAAGTTTGTGAGTTCAAACCATGACTACAGAACTAAATTTTTTCAAGGTAAAAAAATCTTGGCTCACAACACTGGGGACTGAATCACTCGTGACTTGGGTGACCACATAAAATTATGGCCCAATCTCTAGTAATGGGAATGTAAATAACAAATTTTAATGTCACCCAAGCTCACATTGTTTGTAAGGAGGTTGGCCTGATGTAGGGCTCAACTAGTGATTGAGACCCTAGCTTCGTACCTATACAGTTAAATAATTATATGCAGATGTACTAGCTAGTCACTATATCCCACGTAGAAGATACCTATAAGCATAAGAATATAATATCACATAAGTAATTGTTCCTACATACCTTGAAAACTTTGAGCAACAGATTCTTCCGCTCCTGTTCCGGAGACTGAGTGAGCAAGTGCAGGGGTAGGTTCATGCACCAGTCACAGAGTGTCATCATCATTAACACCAGTAGCTATAAGAGAAGTGAAGATATCAAAATCATAAATAGGAACATCATCACCACTGTAATTTCATCAGCATTCTGCATCAGCATATAATGATTATGAACATGTATGCATAGGTATGTCCATTAGGGGTGGAGCTAACTCATTGTACCTGGGTATGGGGGGAGGGGGGCAAAGCCTTGTGTTCTGAGTGGTTAACTATGGGCAATTGGCCATTGACCATTTAATAGTATCTACATTGGGGAGACTGGCATTGCCCACCCTCACTAGCTGCATGCTTATTTGCATTTACACACAAGCACCTCCTTCCCAGAATTAGGAACCAATTGGAAACATTCTGGTGATGTAGTGACCCAAAATTTGGAAGTTTTTTACAGATGTTTATAGTAGTACTGGTTTAAAATCATATGGAAGTGCACGCACACGCACCCACGCACACACACACGCACGCATGCTCGCTCACGCGCACACACGCACGCACGCACACACGCACGCACGCGCGCGCGCACGCACGAACACACACACACACACTGGAATTCTGACATTCAGAATTCAACTTAATTAATGACTATCATATATAATATTCAAAATAACTTTGTTTAATTCAGGGTTTCTTATACATAAGGGGCACAGTGGCGCACCACCGTTGTCAAATTTAACATCGCCGTTGTGATAATGCTCCTGTAACAACCCCAGACATTCACATTTTTAAAATTTTGCTGGAGGAGAACCCCCAGACCACCCCCTCCCTCTCCCCCTGCGTCCACCTGCAGCGTCTGCATGCGTGCATACGACACGCCTTTGAATCCATCATGCGCGTTTTTTACCAAACTGGCCATTACCACCTTTGTCTAATTTTCTCTCAGAAGAAACCCTATTATTTATGATAATTGTCAATAATCTAGATATTATAACAAATATATTATTTTATAAATTACATTTTTGTTCGAAAAGCTCAATTTCATTTCTAATACATGAAGTATCGTAGTATGTAGTAGTAATTCATTAAAAATAATATCATAATAATATGAACTCTATTTCTCATCACTATAAATGCTATATAGTACTGTATTATATTTTTCTTATTGTATAGTTTTGTATTACTTGGATAATTATCTTATATATGAGCTCGTGAAGCAGGTCATCTAAATCTGTTTCCTTCACGCCACATAATATTCCTACATCATCATCAAATTCAATAACGTAACGAGCAAGCATATTCCTCGCTCTTTGCTCTTTGGCTAAAATACTAACTGCGCGTACTGACAGACGACACTTGGATAATAATGATAAAACACATGCGCACGCACACACGCATATGCCCACACCATAGAAATATATAGAGACACCTATATATACGTCAAGAGTCCATATTATCAGAAGTAGATAATAGGGACCCTATTATCCCTATTCCCTATATCCAATATTCCCTATTATCTACTTCTGATATTATGTATAGACTATAGAGTCTCTATTATGGACTCTTGATATACGTATACCATAGAAATAATATAGATAGATAGTATAGGTTATATAATATAGATAATATAGGTTATCAATATAATTTCTATGACGTTTACGTGGGGAAAAAAACACAACGCAACGCACGTACGCAGTTGTATTTACACAACGCAAGCGGTGAACAACTGATTTCCTATTGGCTGCTTAGCGTAGACGAAGTCTGGGCGAGGTCGCCAAAGTATATCACGTGATCCACTTTCAGACATGGCTGACGACTTTCCTTGTTAGCACTACTGGTGTTTTGTTTTCAAATGCGGTTGCTCTGCTTATGTGTGCACGGGTGACTCTTCAGTGCTAAGACTTTGAGGAATAACAGCATAAATACCTGGTGTAAAGTTGTGGAAGTGTTCAAAAAGATAGGTGAGATGTCCATGTTGATAGATAAGTTATGGGCACACGTTATCAGCATCTTACCTCCCAGCCGAGACCCGCTACAAACTCCTCGAAAGCTCGACTGCCTGCTGGGTTGGAGAGCACAGATATCTTGTCCTCCTGACCCTCAGCCACATATATCACAGCTATCTTGTGGGTTTCACGGCTGAAATACACAGCAGATAACTATATTGATACGTCAGAGAGAGAGACAGACAGAGAAATAAACAGTAGATGACAAAGACAAAAAGACAGACAGGCAGGCAGGCAGGCAGGAAAGCAGACAGGCAGACAGATAGACAAACAGACAGATAGACAGACAGACAGACAGACAGACAGACAGACAGACAGACAGACAGACAGTCAGACATACAGGCAGGAGAGGGAGACAGATAGGCAGACAGGCAGACAAACCAACAGACAGGCAGAAACTTACATAATTATATAGACAGACAGATAGACAGAGAGAGAGAGAGAGAGAGAGAGAGAAAGAGAAGAGAGAGGGCGAGAGAAAGAGAGAGAGATAGGAGAGAGAGAAGAGAGAGGAGAGAGAGAGAGAGAGAAAGAGAGAGCGAGAGGGGAGAGACAGACACAGAAAGTGAGAGTGAGAGAGAGAAAGAGAGAGAGAGAGAAGGGAGAGAGAGAGAGACAGAAAGAGAGAGACAGAGAGAGGAGAGAGCGCACACTCACCACTTCTGGATGTCCAGGTTCCTCAGCTCTCTCAGCAGCTTCTCGTTCTTCTTCAGCAGGTCGAACTCGGCGCGCTTCTCCCACGAGAGGAAGCCCAGCTGACACAGCATCTGTCGACAGTAGTGGAACGCCATCGCAGCCTCCTGCGCTCCAGTAGGCTGCTCCGCTTTGGCACTGACGCTGTAACCACGGCAACCACACCACGAAATGAGGTGCCATGACGACAGCACTATTGACGAGTAATGTTGCGACGGGAATGCAAACATGGTAACAAGAACAACCACGACGATCATTGAGCGAACGTAGAAGACGATTAAATGACACGTGAGCACCGGTCTTCTGTATGTGTGCATGCATGGGTGTATGTACATGCATGCAAGTGTGTACGAATTTGTTTTGTGTGTGTTAATAGCAGCATGTGTGTAAATGTGTATGCATTTGTGTATGTCCACGTGTATATATGTGCGTACATCCTTGATTGTGTGTGCATTTGTGTATGTCCACGTGTAGATATGTGCATACATCCTTGCCTGTGTATGCATTTGTGTATGTCCACGTGTAGATATGTGCATACATCCTTGCCTGTGTATGCATTTGTGTATGTCCACGTGTAGATATGTGCGTACATCCTTGCCTGTGTGCGCGTTTGTGTATGACCACGTGTATATATGTGCGTACATCCTTGATTGTGTGCGCGTTTGTGTATGTCCACGTGTATATATGTGAGTACATCCTTGCCTGTGTATGCATTTGTGTATGTCCACGTGTATATATGTGCGTACATCCTTGCCTGTGTATGTCCACGTGTATATATGTGAGTACATCCTTGTAATCCAGGAGGCTGTCGACCGCCATCTCCGCCTCCTCATTCAGCGAGCCGTCGATCGGGAGACATGGCAAGAAGTAGCTAGGACTCATCCGATACCAATCTCAATAAACACGAGATACTAGGATATCCGGAGCATTTTCGCTGCCGGCCGGGGTGTGGGGCGAGTGGCGTGGTAAGTCTGATCGTAGAAGACACCGGGAAAGAATGCAGGATAATCTCTCGCGGTGATGGGGTGGCGGGAGAAATACAGTGGAAGAAAGTAGAGTTCTCTCCTGTGGTGCGTGGGGTGGGGGCACAAACGCGTAGTCATCGAAACATGGTGTATGAAAGTAGGTTAGGGCTGCGGCTCTTTGGTAAGCATGGTCTCTTGAGATGGCGTGATGGTCGTTCCGTGCGAATGGGATGACATTACTGTCAACTGTCTGAGCAGGCTACAGACTTATGGACAAGTGCAATGTCATGAACGTTCAGTCCGTGTGTTTGTCCATATACAGCTCGAGTGGACAACTTAGTGTGTTAACCAACCACCAACAAGTTAGCCACCATTGAACGCGCATTTTCTGTTAAGTGACTGTGCTTCTTTTTAGCTCATCTGACATCAGCTCAGATGCAGGCTTGGAGAATCCCATTGATAGTCCCGTTCGTCCGTCCCGTGCAGCGTCCGGTCCGTCCTGCGAGCGTCGCCGTCGCGTCAACAGTTGGGCACAATCATTAACCGCTCTGACGTCACCGGTCACGATATTCGGGAAGTGGGGGGGTAATCCCGAAAACGAGTTGCGGATGCTCGAAGCTGGGGTCAGAAGGTCAAAGTTCAACGGTGTTACCAGAAGAGAAGGAACATTCCTCCTTAAGCTTAAGGTATAGGGAGGAAATGCAGAATTGCGTGCACAAATCTAAAACGGCTCGACCTAGGCTCGTGATAGTCGGTGATACATCGATGCGTAAGGAAAAGCCATCACTGTGCTGAAAATTGGAGGCAATCCAGGTCAAAGGTCATGGCACAGGGCAAGATTTTGACATTTGCTGAGGACATGGGTGACACCGCGATTGAAAAAACTTTTTTGTTTCAGGCGTGACCTACCATTTTTATGGCTTTATTGAAAGGACCATGAAATGTGCTTTCCACTGACCGTGCGAAGAGAAGTGTCTGATAACTTTAGACCTCAAGAGGAGGGTTAAACCATGGATTGTTGTTGGCTGTTAACAAATGAGTGAACTGCTTTTGCATAGAAGCCCCCCCCCCCCCACCCTCTCGCACCCTCCCCCCGCCCACTTCCCCCATCCCTCCCCCTACCCTCCATTCTGCGGATATTGGGCATGTCCTACAGATGCTGTACGCAACGCCGGTCTGCATATCGCTCACCTACAAATGTGGTACTACGGACGACTGAAATTTTAGCGTTTATAACCGCTAGCAACACACCTCAGATGACCCAACGCTCTGCCGGGCTCTTGTGACTGCTCGTCGTACTACCCGCTTTAACTCTGTCGTGTGACTAGCTTAGCTGTGCGTGAGCTTATGGCAAAGTGCCGGCGTCGTCGAGGGGGCCTGGCTGGCTCTTCTTGCAAACCGTCACAGCGATACGGTTTCTCACCGTGTGTGAGTGCGCATGATGCTTTGTCCAGTCGTCCGACACAGGATGCCAGATGCGCAGCCTTACACACGTCGCACTTGCGTACCGTCTCTCCAGGTTGCACTTGCCCTGTGCGAACAAATGGCTGCTTCGAGCGACGTCGCTGCACAAGTATCGCACGCAAATGGTTACTTGCGCGGTATGTGAAACCATGAGATGCTCTTCAGGTCGGAATGATGTCGCACTGCGTGCTCGCACACGGGCAGAGTTAGCTGGTTTCTCTCCCGTGTGTGTAATGCGCAGCATGTGACTTTAGATGGCCCGTTGATCTTAAACGCGTGGCGGACACAACTGTGCAGCTGTAGGGTCTCCACCTGCTGTGTATCTGCGTGTGTCTTGTTAAGTTTGACAGGCTGCGCGAAAAGCCCACTGACACACTGTTACACTTTGTGTGGGTCTCTCTCCGCTGTGTGTGAGCAGTGACTGTCCATCATCGACTGCCGTATTTTGAACGTTGCAACCGCACACGTCACATTTGTACGGTCTCTACGTCGCTGTCTTCTGTGCATGTGGGCTTATCACTCCATGCGGAGTTTTAAACGTCGCTGCAACACGTCACATTTGTGCGGCCTCTTGTCGCTGTGCTTAAAGTGCGTGTCTGGCTTTAGTACTTCTTTTAGTTAGTTAAACTGACGACACACATACATCGCCTTGGTATGGTCGATCTTTCTGTGCGTTTTCATGTAGAATCCAACACGACTTTGAGTTTTTAAATTGACGCCCCAGCACACTCGGCATCGTACGGTCTATCTTTCGGTTGCGTGCGCATGTGATATCCCAGTCCTTTCGTGAGTCTCATACGGCAATCCGACAAAACAGTCACATGTGTACATTTGCTCTTCCGTGCACTTGGCTCGACGCTGGCTTCGCGTGCGCGCGGCGTCCACGCGCCCGTCTGCGCACGCAGTTCGGCCTGGCGAGCGCGCCCGTCGTCTGACGGCGCTGCTTCGCGCTACGGCGCGGCGTTCCCGGTGTCCGCACAGCGGTCGGCTGCGAGGCGCGCCTGTCGATCTGACGCGCTGCTTGCGTCGCGCGGCGTCCCCGGTGTCCGGACGCGCGCCGCGGTTCGCGCGCCGACGTCCGTCTGACGCGCTGCTTCTGGCGTCGCGCGGCGTCCCGCGTGCCGCCGCACGGGTCGGCTGGCGAGGGCGCCACGGTCGATTCCTGACGCGCATGCTTGCGTTCGCGCGGCGTCCCGGTGTTCTGCGCAGGCGGCCGGCTGGTAAGGCGCCCGTCGTTCTGACGCGCTGCTTCGCGTCGCGTCGCTTCCCGGCCCTGCTTCTGCGCAGGGCGGCCGGCCTGGTACGGCGCCGTCTCTGACAGGCGCATGGCTTGGTTCTGGCGGCGTGCCCGCTCCGTCGTCCGTCGTCCGCCGGCGTGCAGGGCATGTGGTCGAGCGGAGCAGCAGCGGCGATGAAGCGGGCCCGCAACGTCGCAACGAGTACTGCCCGCCGGCCCGGGTGGTCGGCGATGTGCACGTGCAGCACGTCGAGACAGGACGATACGCCAGTCGCCAGATGTCCACGCGTACGACATCGCAGTGGCGCCTCGGCGAGACCGATCTCGCCACGGTCGGTTGCTGTAGACTTACCATCTAGTACCGAAGTACTGCCAAGGTCGTCATACCACCCAGGTGCGGCTTCACAAGTAGCGATCTCACTAGCTCGGTGCTTTAAACAATACCTGATTTGGGCCAGGTAGCGATGAGATGTCAAGTTAATGACTCTACCAGCGATGGCAACTCGACAGAGTGGTGAATTCTGCAGAGCAACGACGTTGGCTAGACTCGCCGACAGAATACTCGCCAGCGTTGCCGCGTCGCACCGACTTTTGCATCTGCTGTGGTGCGCCGGTGTTGCAGCACTCGGCGTCGCGGACGTGGTGTGGCTACCCAGCAGTAGCTCACATTTCACGTGAGGGTCTCACTCGCTCGTTCACCGGCACTGCAGAGCGGCGTGCCGCACGAGTCCGCTGCGTGAGTGTCTTGCCGCCAGGTGGAATGACCCAGTCTCCGCTCTATGGCACGTCTTGTTGAGGCAGTATGTTGCTCATGTGCACATTATACGTGAATCTCACATGTGCTCTTTTCTCCAGGGATTCTCAAACACAATGCTGAAAATTATGATAACGCTTTATCTCTCGGCATTTCTCAAGCTCTCTTGTCTCTTCTCTCCTTCTCTCTCATCCTCTCGCTCTCTCTCTCTTGCACTCTAATCCGTTTCTCTGTTTCGCTCTCTATCATTTGCGTTCAGTCTGTGATACAAATGTAGATATTGGGGTTGCTTACACTGACAACAAGTGTGTTATATCGATACGATATACGTTGAATATAATCATAAAAAAGTACGAAGCCTATATTCACTGCCCAACACTAACGACGGCTCATGCTTAAAATAGAAGTATAATTTTGGTTCTAGATATAGAACCCATGATTGAAATTGCACTATCTAAAGACTTCATACCCACCCTTTTCTTACTCGAGCCATCTGTGATTTTGCCCAACTGATTAATATCAAACCTGCATCAATTTCCCTTTGGCATGGCGCTTGTTGAGTTGGACGGCTCGTAGAAGCACCACGCTCTGACGACCTGTAAACAACATGAGAAGTCATGTAACTATTATCGCCATTATGATCACACACATTATACTACATCTTTGGACGTAACAACCGCTCTGCATTAGTCGCAGGGTTGAACTCGCACGAAGATTGTGTACATTGGTATTATTTTTGTTTCTATAGCTGTATCATAGACTAAAAAATATTCTTAGTCTATGCTGTATCTTGTGTTTGTTGTTACACTACCAATGATGCGCCCAAGGATAATGCAGAGCTGTCCACATTTTCACAATTTGCACATGATCGCAGCATTGCGAAAATGGAATGTGGTCAGCGCTTATATCCATGAACCCAAATGAGTATGCATAGATTCATTTATATTTAATCGATGTAAACCGCGTACATAGTAATTGTGCTAAATGACTCGTTACCCAAGATTCCTACTTGTGACGGAAAATCCTGCTTGTTCAAAGAATTCAAATTCCGATTTACAAAGGTCCAATTGTTGGCAGTCTCTGGTATTGAGTTATTTGTTAATCCTTAAGGAACTCTCCACGTTTGCACGGGTATATGCTCTAAGTAAAGATTAAACGTTTAATGGCGAAGAACGAATCAAATCACTTCGTTGTAGATTATACGAGGAGATATATCTCTAGCTCAAGCCAAAAATTTCATGAAATTATTCGCAGCACCTAATTTATTGTTACCACACAAAATTTGAATTTTTATGATAAGAAATGATATTTTGGATATTTCTTCAACTACCAAAAGAGTTGAGGCATACAAATTTTTACCACATGTTAAGCAACAAATGGACCTAAAATAGCACGTCAGGATTTTCTCTATTAATTTTTCATATTTACCGGAGAAAACCGAAAAAACTGCTTAAAAAACAATTGTTGTAAAATAGAAATAATTTAGCGATAAAGAGAGCATAAACTAATAAATACGCACCTTATAACAATCCCGACGCCGCTTTACCACAATATGTTACAATTAAAACAGTGAAAATTAAATAATCGAGTGTAACCCACAGAGAAATATCCAATTTATACATCGGCTACTATGTCAAAAATAGAAAACGGAAGAAATCACGCTTTCTATTTTCAG